GGTTGTGGCTAACCAGGTTTGTCAGCAAAGAGGAGCCCAACAAGAAGGGGCTGACACTTCGAGGATTCGTGAGTTCTTGAGGATGAATCCCCCAAGTTTCACTGGTTCAAACAGTACAGAGGATCAAAAGAAGTTCACTGAGTAACAAATAAAGGTGTTTAGGGTGATGCATGTTGCTAACACTGAAAAAGTTGAGCTAGCTACTTATCAACTCAAGGGGTTGCTAGAACTTGGTTTGATTAGTGGAAAGAGGGTAGAGATGAGGATGCACCACCTGCGAGTTGGGCTTATTTTGAGGAGGCCTTCTTGGGGCATTTATTTCCCGTGAGCTAAAAGAGGCCAAGCTATGTGAGTTCTTCACACTTAAGCAGGAATCTCTAAGTGTTCTTGGGTATGGGTTGAAGTTCACTCAACTATCATGTTATGCTCCGTGGATGGTTAAGGACATGAGGAGTAGAATGAGTCTGTTTGCTGCTTGTTTGGGCTAATTCTCAAGCAATGAGGATTGGACAACAATGCTTATCGGTGGCATATGATTTATGTTTCGGAAAAATGAAAATAGTTTTTAGACTTGTTTAGAGTCGTCACTTAATTTTTGAGAAAAATCAAGAAAAACTTAGTTTTCAAAAGATTCAAACAAAAAAATCAATTTGAAAACTTAAAGGGGTTCAGGGATTCTATACTTTAGGAAGATGTTTAAGGCACCTAAAATAGTCGCTAATGCGGTTATCCATCAACTAACTTGTTTGGCTAAAACGTCTAATTTATTTCAATTTATTTTTTAAAATGCTTGAAATATCAACCTATCTTCTCATCGAATTATTGAACTTGTAAAATTTACTTAGTAAAAAATTATTTAGATATACTTGATTTAGTTGAATCGTGAAAACAAAATAGCATCTCGCGAGGAATTTGAGATTTTCAACCCTAAAGATGACGACAAATAATAGCAGATAAATAAACAAAGAAATGTTGTGCGTTTGTGTGTGTGTGTGTGTGTGAGAGAGAGAGAGAGAGAGAGAGAGAAAGGTCCAAATCTGATTTCTTTCCGCCTGGATCGATATTTGGACCCATATTGTTTTTGGGTCTTAGGACCATTTTATTGTTCTTGTCCTAATCTAACAAAATAACAATAAATAAATTTACAAGACTTAGGCTTAAAAATAACAAAATGCTACACTTTCAAAAAAATAGTAAAATTTTTGGACTCTTGGGCCAATTCTTCAACTCTCTTCAATTCTTCAAGCTATTTCGACTTCAAAATCTGTTTGCCAGTTTTTAGAATGACCGATTCAAGAAGGGGTTTTGGATCCTTTGGTTTTTCCCCGAAATGCAAGAGGAGGAGAGGAAGTTCGTAATGAACTCAAACAAATTTCACATGCAACGCAAAAATAAGATAAAGGATTAGTATTTAATAACATCATCTTAAAAACCACCACTCAACATGGTAACAAAACTTTCCAATTATGATATGGTTATTTACCAAAAAGGAACACAACAAAACATATAGCAAACAAAAAATTCATATTTGTATTTTATAGCAAAATTTACATAATTGCGCTCCATAGCAAACATAAAACTGTATAATTCGCTATGCATATACATTTGTATTATTCGCTAGCCTAAATTGTATAATTCGTTGGCCTATTCGCTGCAATTGTATAATTTGCTTTGCATACAGTTGAATCGAATTAAAATGTATGTATATTGCATAATTACAAGTGTATAACAAGAAGATATATGTTTTTCTCGCTTTATACAAAAACAGAAACACAATATATACACTTCTGTTGTATAAATCTAGAGAAAATTGTATTTCACTGCAATTGTATAATTCGG